ATTGAAATCTTCGACGTTATGTTGAATAAAATTTAACAAAATATCGCACAATATAATTTAATAAAGTATCATTATAAATGTATATTTTCATCGTTAAATTAATTTTCCATCTTTCCTTTTAATTTTTTATAAAATTCCCGTTAAAGTTTCAATTTCGGTTTCGGCCGAGATTGAAAAAAAGAACCGGATATTGATTCGTTTTCGATTTTGGCCGGAACTGAGAAAGATGGTGGGTCCGGACACTAATAATAACACAGAGAGTGCAGATATCTGCACCGACATTTCCAACGAGGCATTCGAGCGGGATTTCAGCTGCGCTCGAAACACGCGTTGCAAATGGCACGCGCGCGCGACCGCCGCGAACACGTGTCGGGCTCGCGGCCAGTCCGCGCTATTTCGTACTCAATGAAGCCGGAAATGATCGGACGGTTCGGCGCCGCGGCCGAGTTCGATCGGCGGCGAGCGGAAACGCGAAAAAAGCCCGGGAGAGACGCGAATTGTCGAGCGGAGTCACCGATATAATTAACCGTCGGCGGAACCCGCCGCATCTCCTCGCGCGATTACGCGTTGGCGATACGCGCGCGCTTCCGTAATCGAGCCGGCTCGATCCGCGTAAAGCGCGCTTTATTCCCAGCGGATGTACGTTTTCTCGCGCTATGGGGAAATGAAAGTTCTATTACTTCTCCGCGAGCTCGTTCGGCCGGCCGGTTGGTTCGTTCCCGAAGCGACGTTCCGATGCGAAATAGCGCGTCCTCGCGCTGTTTTATTGTCGCGGATACGCAGGTGAAAAAAAGCGCCCCGGCTCCGTTAACGGGTATATATCGCGTCGTGAGGCATTGTGCGCCTTAAATAATAAAAATGTGTAGCAGGTGTACACGTCGGACGTTCGATTGCTGCCGCACCTCGGCGGGAAGGAAGTCCGCTCTCCGAGGACGCTTCCGAGATCGCCGAGATGCGCCGAGAAGAGATGAATGCGAAATTTCAGGCGAGATTCAACCACCGAGGTTGCTCAGCCTCGACGGAGCTTTCGTATTCACCGCGCGCGAATCCGGCGACGCGCTTTTTACGCGAGGATCATGAAAGCGCCGAGGGAGTGGAAAATGCTAAATGCATTCGGAACGTTATTCGAGCGCTGGCCGGCGAAAACGTAATTCAGAGAGACGGCCAATTTTATGTTGTTGCAAATAAATGTACAGGGTGTGCGTGTGTGCGTTTCTTAAGTATTATTACTGTCCAGTATTTGCGATTCTTGAAGTCACTTTATGGGGAAAAGCTCATACGAACATATGTTCTTTTCTTCATAAAATCACCTCAAAATCAGCCCTTGAAATTATATTTTCCATTTTTTCCGCGGATTTCTTCGGTTCCTTATTTAAACTTCATTTTATTCCAAAGGTAGGAAGAGTCGTTTAGAAAAATTCACGTGCGTCCGATTAAAATCTGCTATATTAATTTTTTGCTGTGAAGAAAATAAACAACCGAAAAAAAGCCGCGGAAAAATGAGGAAAAGGCAGTTTTTCCGAATCTTCAACATGTAAAATATTGGATGGTACTTGACAAACACCCTCTAATATTCGCTACGACAACATGAAATTTGCTGTCACTCGAAATTATATTTCTCCGTGCATTAGCGTCGTACGGTGTGCTGCGAAAAGAGAAAGGGAATCAGAGAGAGAGAGAGAGAGGGGGAGAGAGTGCCGCGTTATTACGGATAATAATTATTTACGAGAACGCGAGAGTGAGCGGAAATTTCACAGGCAGTACGGGAATGCGCGCGCGGCGAATGTCCGTTAACAGTTCTCCTTGACGTTTTCCGAAATAGCGCGGAGCAAAGGCGTTTCCGCCTTCGATTTTCCGCACGCGGGGGTAGCTCGTTATCGCAGCGGCACTATTGTTTCGCCGGTTATCGCGACGAACTTGTAATTGCCTCGTTGTAACTTCGCCACAGCGCGGACGAAGGACATCGATCTCGCGAATCTCTTCCTAACAGTTTCAACCTCCACGTTGGTGCACCGATGTTGGCAGTTATGCGTAGTTTATGACGGTTCTACCACTTAATGCTCGACGCCCAGGTAACAGGATGACGTCCTAATGACGTGTTATTAATGTCAGAGACATCATCAAGATGTTACTCAAACGTTATTTGACGTCACCCTCATACCTGGGAAACCTGAGTGATTAAAAATTACGCGAGTATATCGTCAAAAATAATTCAAAATAATCGTGTTTAATTATGTAATTAAATTACATAATTACATAATAAGATGGGTGTTAGGTTAATTTTCATGAAGCAAAAATACGATAATTGACGATCGACTGATTCAAAGAATTAGAGAAAAATAAGAAGAAAAGATATCGAAACGAAGTAGTACGGGTGCGAATACCGAAAGGAAGCTATCGATGGCAAAATACCCGATATCGAAGGAAAGATATCAATACACCGGTATTGTATCGGTAATATCACAACATCCCTTCGTGCAAGCATCTGTGATATCATTTAGCGATGTCGCCTCGCGGAAAATCCGCGGCGGAGGGATTGATTCCCGGAGGCGCATGGCTAGCACATGCGCGCGCGGAACTCATCGGATGTTTCTGCGAACGTTTATTCAGGACGCGTGTTGCGCGGTTGTGTGGTAGCGCGTTTACGATCGATTCCAATCTCCTAGGAAGTCCGTTGCAGCGGCGAATGCCGTTCCGATACGCGCGCGGCGTATTTCGCGAATTCGTTAAAGCCGCTCTCTCGCGAGTGCGAGTTTTACGTAACAACTGGTCGTGACGCACTCTCTCGTGATAGATCAACGGCGAATCGACGCTGCGGAGCTCGCTCGCGGATACAAATTGGCGCATTCGCGAGAATCCCGGCGCCGCCCCCGCGTCAAACGTCGGGATATTACAACGGCGTATCGGCGGTCGCGCGTCGCCGATCAAAGGGCATTTTTTATCCATTTCCGCTCGCCCCTCCTCCTCCCCTCTACCGTTTAATATTCGCGAAAACGCGCGCATTCCCACGAACCGCTCGCATTATTCCCGATTCGACGTCACACCGCATGCATACACAGAGAGAACGTGTTTCCCGCAAAAATGTCATCTTTCCGCGCCCAATTCCGGGCTGATTGCGAACGCGGGGCTCGTTTCTAGTTTCAGCGGCGACGGGACGCGCGCGGATCACGCCGCTCGACGACAGGCGAATTACCCCGAATAATCTAGGTGAGCACTCGCGCATCCTCCGCGACCCCCTCGCCGGGATATCCCCGGTCGCGGCGAAGAGGAGAGAGAAGCGGCGGCGGGCCGAACTTTCACTCAGCCGCGATACGCGCGCTGCGACTCGAGAAGGGAGAGCGGACGGAGGAGCAAGAGAGGCGGAAGGAGAAACGCGCGAGAAGGAAGGAATCGAACGAGCGCACACGTACGCGCGGGAGAGGTTTAGTGACCTCGGCGTGGTCCCTGAGGAGAAGCAGAAGGAGTAGGACGACGGGGGCGACGTGCACGAGGCGCGACGACGCCGAGCGCGACGAGACGACGAGGAGTGGCCGAGAAGAAGAAGAGCAAATTGGTGCTCCCGGTAGCAGGGGTCCATGAGCATCGTGGAGGAAACGATACGCCGCAGCCTGTCGAGGCGCAGCAGACACGGGCCGCGCGGAGGCAGCAGCTCGGCCGGCGATTGGCCCGCGGCGGCCTCGCGGGGCCCGGCCCAGCCGATCCCCACCGTCGCGTCCGGCACCGCGTCAGCCTCTGCCAGGCCCCAGGATATCGCGGGCCCGACCAAGCGGCAGTCCTCGCGCGACACCGACTCCGCCGGCCAGCACACCCCACCCGATCAAGCGGACCTCCTCTTCAAGGTCTGCCGCCTTGCCGCCTGATACCCGAGCGAGCTCCTTCGGCGAGGAATGCGGCCGGAGGATCCTCGGTGGGAAGTCCGATGTCCCGCGTGCAGAGAAAGATTTTCCCCCTCGAATCTCCTCAATCGAGGCTGATTTCGCCTCATATTCGGCGTTAAATTACGTTTTTATACCCGAACCAACGCAAAGTCAAACAAATATGTGCGCTAGATTCGAAGAAACCTCTTTCTCTGTACAAATAAACACTAACTAAAACGTAACATTTATAACAGCAATTACATGCGGAAAAATATGGATTGCATTTTTTAAATAAGCGTTACAAGAGAAGATGGTATTATAATTCTCATTTACATTTTGTATGATAACTTGTTTAGTAATTGATATTTTATATTCAAAATGTCGGTTAATCGGTTCTAGGCTCAAAAGTATGGAATATTTATTATTTCGGACGTAGCTTATAAAAATTATTGCAGGACTACACAAAAGTTCGAAAAGAAACAGAAGTGATAATGTAGCCCCCGGCTAGAATAAATTTCAAAAATTCGTTTCGTTTAAAAAAGAACAATGTTATTCGTTGCAAATTTAAATATTTGTTCAAAATAAACTTTCGAAGTGATTTCCGAGAGCAACGGGGTACTTTACGGTCACAATTATCTTGCTCCTTTCTGCATTCCTCTTGTCTTTATTCCCGCGTGATGTTAAATCGATCGCGACTGGGAGTCACATTCGATGTTCACTTCGTGAATGAATGAGCGAGCTAGGAAGAGGAGGAGTCGAATGAGACGATTATATTTGAAAGTCCTCATCCCCCGGATGCAGGTGATGCTGCTCGGAGATAGTGGCGTTGGGAAAACCTGCCTGCTGACGCGTTTTCGCGACGGCCGCTTCCTGGCGGGCAACTACATAACGACCGTCGGCATTGACTTCAGGGTGAGACACGTTTTATCACCGCACGTGCACCGTAATTATAGTGATGAGCGATCTCGAAGCGATATATAAGATTTTTCCCGGAGAATTTCCTGGTTTTTTTTTTTCACGGCGAGAGAGAGAGAGAAATATGCGTTGCTCACATTGGATACGGCGATATCATCGCGATTTGTGGGATTCTCGATTTCGTGTTTAGAGCAAAATTTTCCGAAAATGCCTCTCGTATCCTTGCAGAACAAAGTTGTCACCGTCGACGAGACGCCGATCAAGCTGCAGATATGGGACACGGCGGGCCAGGAGAGGTTTCGGAGTGTGACGCACGCTTACTACCGAGACGCTCACGGTAAATCCTTTATTGCACATTATCCCCCTTTTCCCAGCAGGAGAATTCAGGTTTGCCCGGATTGCTCGCAATCAGAATTAATACGAATTGAAAGGGACGGAGGAATTTTAATGGGTATGAACATGCGCATTAAAGCCAAATAAATTGCATGAAATTAAATAAACTGAATAAAATTGCATGAAATTTGAATTGAATCAAAATAATTAAACGCGTTATCACCCGAGGGTTTGCGAAGGTAATAATAATAATAATTTTCCACGATATCGTATGACGATATGCGCGCCGAGAAAAATGGCGGTAAGAAGCCGGGATACAGTCGATCGTAATAGAAACGCGTTTATCCGGTAGCTTTCCTACGCGTGCGATAAATCCGAGATCATCGGTGTGGATTTTCCGCGCGCTTTGCAACAGCGGCTCGTAACTATTTTACTCTTTCGCGCTATAAAGGCCGCTACCACGGCGCTGAAGTCGTGCATGTGAAATGTTTTACTGGTTCAGCGTTTTATCGCGGGCGGAAAATGACGGGAAATATACGGCACGAGACGCGACCTTTGCTCTCGGGCGTCGACTATTTAATATACGTTTTTGATTTAATCGACAGAATTTCCCCCGTGGAAATCGTGAGACGCGAGCTTCAACTCGATCGTTGTTGCCGATATATTACACGGGGCATCTCAGTTTTCCCACACTCCTCCTGCACGGCGAATTAATGGGTTTTGATTTTAAAATGAATATTTAACAAATTTTTCCTCACGGAAAATTCTATAATTTAACACTTATCCTCTTGGAGAACTCTCCTCTTCGAAATAACTCTTGCCGACAGTCAGCTTGAAATATTTTAAATAGCTTCATGTTCTTATAAACTCAGTTCCCCCCAATCTCAGATTGATTTTAGCGATTGGGATCTGACTTCTCGTGTACGAAGGAACTTCTCGAGGCGCTACGTCGGCGCGTCCATGGGGGAAAATCTTAATTGTTCGTCCCAATTTTCATCGTTCATCCCCGAGGCTTCTTCCGTCTTCGGACTTGAAATGATCAATTTGTAACGCCACCGCTCGTTCCGCATCGCTCGCGACGAACTCGAACTTTACAATGCATGCGAACCATTTGTAACTTCCCAGCCCGAACTCCGGCCGTCGCGCTCCCGATTTTGTTGCTCCGCCAGTTTTGGCCAGATGCCAAACTCGATTCGCGCAGATAGACGGAGAAGGAGAAGGAATACGAAGAGGTCGCCTAAGGGAGACTTCATTGTTTGCCGACGGAGCTTCTCCGCGAGTTTCGCGAAGTTGTTTTCGCGACAATAACCGCGCGTTGCGGCAACTTTGGGAGCAATCACTTGGGACGAGCGAACCCGACTATAATTAGCCGCGTCATCCAGGAAGATTAAGTGCCTTCTATTTTCTCAATAATCGAAGTGTATCGAAAAAGAGCGGATTGATTCTAGAATGCGCGCGCGAGCTCCGTTTATAAACGCACGATCGAAATTTGCGCAGCATTTGAATCTCAATCTGAAAAGTGTCAAAATTGTCGAAAATTTGTATTCGGCCTTTTGCAGAGTTTCATATATTCTCAAATATTTCGCCGTGCCGATTTCGCTGTGCTGACTCCGTTGTGCTGATTTCGAAAGCAATGGCGTTGGCGAGGCTCGGCATTCCGGGATATTTTCCAATATTTCGGGAAAGTTGGATTTCGATATCATCCCGGAATCGGATTTCGGCATTATGAAAGTTCGGGATATCGGTCGCTCTTTTCGAATTTCGACGTTTCATACTTCCGGCATTTCGCATGTCCACCTCATTCTGCAAAGAGGGAAAAAAATCGTCCGAATTGGTCGATATAAAAAAAAAGCGCGACTGGTTTCAGCGCTTCTGCTGCTGTACGACGTGACGAATAAGACGAGTTACGACAACATCAGGGCTTGGCTGAGCGAAATCCGGGAACACGCGAACGAGGATGTCGTCATCATGCTGCTGGGTGAGTCGCGCTTATTTATGACATGCCCGGTGCCGATACAATAGACCTGCCCATTTGGGAGGCCGCGTTTGAACGGCCGCCGACTCGCGATCTCTGCGGAGCGAAGTTAAACGCCGGAAATAAGGGTCGTGATGGTTTAGTAGCGGTTTGATAAGGGAGCTCGGCGAAAGCTATCTGGATGACCCGGATTTCATTACACCTCGATCGTCCCGTGCGATACACATTTCGCTACACCCGAGTACCCACTTCACAAAATTGAGACCTGATGGCATTCAGAGCCGACCGGTCGCAGAATCGCGGGAAGGACTAAATCGGGCTCGGCCCGATAACTCAATTTCGCAAGCAATTAACGCCCGCTCTAACGAGCCCGGGAGCCGTACTTATAGTACGGAAACACTTTTGACATCCGTGCTGAGATAATACGGAGTAGTTCCGCCATCTCTCCTTCCCGTTTTCGGCTTTTAATTCGAGATCCAATCTCTCGGATTCGTGTACATACGATCCGTGCGGATTATCGGCTTCTGAAAATTGACCTTAATTGGTCACGCGGACGCTGATCGAGATCGCTAACGAGATCGAAAACGCTATTAGCGACGTCGTAGCGGGGGGNGGGGGGGGGGGGGGAGGGGGGGCTGGATATTTCAGAGGGAGGATCGATTTTCCTCATCGTTTTAATGATCAAACCGCAGGTAACAAGTCCGACTGCGGGACGGAGCGCATCGTCAAGAGGGAGGACGGCGAGCGATTAGCGAAGGAGTACAAAGTGCCGTTCATGGAAACGTCCGCCAAGACTGGCCTCAATGTCGAGCTGGCGTTCCTCGCCGTTGCACGGTACGATTTGCATGGGCAAGATAATCCCGCCGGTGTAACTGAATTTCCTCCTTGCCGGGGGATCGGCCGAAAATTCGGCTGTAGGGAACAAATGTCCGCGGGAAGTTTTCTATTCAATTGTTTTCAATTGTCTCGGCCGATTTTGAACACAGCCGAATACTCACACTAGTGTTCTATCTCGCGGTAAAACCAAACGGGACGCGATTGGCGGGGAATCGCGCGAGAGTCAGCGTTAGGCGAGAAGAAACCGATCGAGACTCCGGTCTGCTTTCAGGGAGCTGAAGGCCAGAAAAAGCGACGACCCGGACGGGACGAAATTCAACGTTCAAGACTACGTGCGTCAGCAGTCGCAGCGTAGTTCCTGCTTCAATTCCAGCTGCCTGACAACCTGAACTGTTCGCTCTCACGCTCTCGAGTCCGGGGTAAACGCGAGAGCACGGCTCGCCGTAGGAGACGCGGCGCGCGTGGATCGTCGTCGCGAGTCACACCAGCGAGGCTCATCATTGATTTCCGCGCGTCCTTCTTCTGTGCACGTGTAACAGCCACGTGGCGCGGGCCACGGTATACATTTTGTACGCGACTCGTTGTTGAAAGCTCCTCGGATCCACAAGTTACAACTTATGCTCAAGATCATCTACCCAACGAGCGGTCCGGCCGAATGGGACGGCATAGCGGACGGCGCGCGTTAACGTTCGCGGGAAGGCGTTATCTCCGCCTCGTCGCCGCGAACATTGTGATGAGCGATGCTGCGGAACGCGAAACCGGGCTCGACGGCTCTCGGGGGGGATCATCGGGAAGTGAGCTGAATTCTTACGCGGCGCGCGGAGTCCCTTGTTAAACGTAAAAGCAAAGACGTGTCAATGGTTACACACGCACACTGACACACGGTACACGGTAAAAAAACATTGTTTGTACCTGTGCTAAGATCGGTTCAGGAATGTTTGCATCGCATTTCCAACATACCACGGTATGTTGATTTAACATATTTTGCGTTCACGTTGTCTCGGTATTTTGCGTCGAGCCGATATATTCAACGTGTTAAAGTAACATATTTTATACCCCCGATATTAACATATTACGGATATTATAATTATAATTTCATATTAATATAATTATATATTTCACACTAATATGATATTATATTTGATATTGATATCATTATAATTTTATAATTATAATTTCCGACACACCGAATTAGCGTTTGTTTCTCAACGCATTCGTCCCGCGTCAAATCAACGTCACGGAAATTTGCGTATGGGACGTGTCTTAAATCGAACGCAAAACTTTTTACTGTGTACACACACGCACACACACACACACACACATGCTGTATGTTAATGTGAATAGTTCCAGAGGAATAATAATAGAATCTCAGGATACCTCCGTAGGTATGAGCCTCTAGCTCGATGGTTCTAATTTTAATGGCGCGTGTACACGCCACGTGCGCCAACCGCACATATAACGCGCGCGAGAGACGCGCTCGCGATCAAACAATCGAGTGTAACTTACAGCACACACCGCTTGTACGCCCGTAATCGTTCGTTACGTTGCGCCCCGCGCTTTAGTCGCTGTGTTTGCACGAAGGAACGTAATCTTCGATTTGCATACAATGCGCTTGTTACAGCCGCAGCTCGCGCCTGTGAGCGGTGCCTGTGAGCGGCCGACAGAGAAAGAGAGAGCGAATCAAATGTCAACGCGAGCGAACTCGCTCGACGTGTATATGTATTATGTACTACCGAGTAGTCTTGAATCGCGATATGTAGAGCGTGTGCGAAGGAGGAGGGAAGCTCATCTCTCTCTCTCTCTCTCTCTCTCTCCTAGGAAGAGTTCAGAATCGAGCTCGTAGCTGCCATCTAGCGGATCTCAGCGCGCGCGCGCGAGAGGAAACGATGAGCGAGGTCCGCGATGCTTCTTTTTTTCTTTCTTTCTCTTCACCGTAGCCGGCAAGTAGTATGCGCGTTTTCGTGATCGTTAGCTAGACGTATGCGCGTATGTTTTGTATAATCGATAATCGAGATAATCTATCTGCGCAAAGACGGCGTGTCCTTCCGATCGGTCAGGTTCCGCGGAGGAATAGTTATCTACCAGCGCGATTCCAGAGGATCCCGCAGAGTTTTATCGATCGTTATCGAGTCAGAGTTCTCTAAGCGAAGAGTTGAGAACCGCCGTGTCGGGGAAGAGTCAATAAAGCTCGCACTGTTTAATGAAGCTCCCAACCACGTCAGCAGCGAAGGTGATTGCATAATCGCGCTACGGATTTTTCTTTCTTTTTTTTCTAAAACCTTCATCTCTCGTGAGGAGAAGCCGACGTACGCGAGGCGGAGAAATAGTCGGCGCGCGGATATTAATTTCACAGTTGAAACACGGTTGAGGTCCAAAGGAAAAGCGGGGTGAGGGGTGGTTTTAGGCAGGACAAAGAGATGTCTCGTATGTGTTTACATCCTGGTATATATGATGTGCAATCTGTCTTACCTGCAGTGTACAAATGACAAATAATTTCGTGTATCAAACGTGTATATCAGAAGACGTATATGAAATAAAAGTCGACCAACTATATATTGAACGACGTTAAATGTACATTGCAAACGAGGGAGGATGATTTTCTCTCTCTCTCTCTCTCCCTCTCTCTCAATAACTTTCGCTCTGATTGAACGTCCCGCAATCCCCCCTTCAAGTTTTCCCATGTAAACGTAGGTGAAAATAAACTCGTCTTACCAATTTAGTTTTTCATTTTATCACGCAAAATGAAAGTGTTTCGTTAAGAGTGGAAAAGGACAACAAAACTTAATGAAGGTCGGAGGGAAGGGAAGAATTTCTCATATATAATTGTATATAGGATATGTCTGTATATAAAAATATATAGTTATACACAATCACATATATGTAATTATATATTAATATATATATATATTTTTATATACAACGCTTTTTGTATAATTATATTTAATTATATCTTAATTATATTGGGAAATTTTTCTCGGAGAAATTTTCAAGAACGTGAAATATTGCGTAAATATATACGAGTAATAATATATATATATCTCCCATTCCCAGTAAACACCAACTAATTAAACAGTAACAGCAATGTTATAAATCCTCAACAATGTAACTATTATATCCAATACATGTCATATCGCACTTATATTTTGTTGAGTGAGAAATTACACAACCTAGATCATAGCAGAACGTTTACTTTACAGCTATCGGAAGTTTTCCTCGTGCTGAGAATGAATTATTCCTCTCCGAATAAAAAGAATAACCCAGTTTCAGCTCAGAAAACTTCCAACAATCGTAAAATAAACGTTCCGCTGAATTTTTCTGCTGAACGCGGCCATTGATGTAATGTTACTGCTGGTTGTGTTGGTTGTTTGTCGAGGTTACATAAGAGCAACATTCTTTCCGGTTTATCACATAGTAAAGTCTAGAAATGCGATATATACATTTAAAACTTACGTTCGCTCCAATCTCACTCATCTTTCGCCGGGTGTTTTCGAGATGATCAATCATCAGTTTCTCCGAAGTTCGATTCGTCGTAAATTTCAGACTCTCGGGAATTTCAATCCCGGGAAAAAGTGATTATATATGAATTTTGTCTCTATATGTCCATATATAATCATATACGAATGTAACTGAAGTAAATGCGTGCGTCTACGGCTTAGCCACGACGTAAATACTTAATTCAATCAAAATATTTCTTCCGCTTTTCATTCAATGGCATCTTCGTTTCGCGCGGCCATATGCAATTATACATGTAGCCACGTAGAGAAAAACATTCATATGTAAATTACTCATTATTATATACAATTACATGTAACTTTATATATCTTTCTTCCCGGGATGCTCCTTTGATATCGTTCTTACCTCGGGTAAACGCGTTTTTTCCCCCTTTCGTACGTACCGTCGACGAGAGATCCGTAGAGAGGAAGCGTTTCGAAAGCCATTTTCCGGAAGCCCCCGTAGAAACTTGGGCACGATCGCAGCGCATCCTGTCGAGTCATCGGGACCATTGTCGGAGCGGCAGCTCGCGCCATCTTGACACGCCGCCAACAAGTGTGAACAGGCGCGGAACAACTGGTTTTCTCCCGCAGTTCTCGATGCCCGATGGCCACAAACAAAACGCTGCGTCCCTAACCTGATCACGGAAGAACGCGGCGTCGGCGGATTTAGTTTTCTCTCGGGGTGTTTCGCGCCGACTAGCGTCTTCGGTGCGTGTGCCGGTTCACCATGGACGAGGACGTGGTGGAGATCGAGAACGTGGAGAACGTCTGCAGGCTGTGCCTGTGCACGGACGAGCCGAGGGCTTCGGTGTTCGGGACGGACAAGCAGGAGGAGGATTCCACCGCCGTGCCGTTGGCCATAAAGATCCAAGCCTGTCTGTCAATCGAGGTTGGTGTGCGCTTCTGATTGGCAACTGCGGTTCAAGGGGCTCCGGGTTCGGTGTGATCGACTCTGTTGTGACCGTACGTGACGTACTACTCGCTCGAGCGCGTCACTAACGCGCGTTGAGGTTATGTTCGCGCTGGGAGGCGACACGAAGCTATCAACCGAGCGGGTCATATTATTAGGGGGAAAAAGTAACCCGTTTCTCCTAGCCGTACTGGCGATTTCTTCCTCCTTTTCCTTCCCTCCCTCCACCCGTCCGTTTCCTTCCTGACGAACGGTCGTACGTATATTTGGCTTACTTTAAACGTAAGAAATGCAGCATGACTAGGCTAGAGGAAATGAATTCCTTCTTTGGCTGCTTCGTCAACGCCAACAGCTTTGTGTTTTATACGTGTGTGTGTGTGTGAGAGAGAGAGGAATTTACGATCGAGAAATGTGGAAAGGTAGGCGATAATTGTTAAGTGCGCGGGAGGAGATCCGGACGATTTGCAGCATTCACATGTTCGCCCCAGGTTCTTGATCTTCGGGTCGGTGTTACTTGATTTTTCAGATTTCGCCCACTGATAAGTTGTCCACGCTAATATGCGAGGAATGTGTGAAAAGTGTAAACCAATGGCACACCTACAGGGAATCCTGTCTACGTTCGCAGAATAAGCTGCAGAAGTGGCTGACCAGTCATTCGAAACCTGAGGTCAGTGGCTGCATAATAGCTTGAAATTTAGGATTATTTTAAGTTACTTCCTGTTATTCATGTTTCATGATACATTTGCAGGTTGTAACAATCAAGGGTGAACCGGTGGACTTGGATTACGAAGACCACGTTGAAATTATCTCAGAGGTGAACAAAAAGCAAAAATCATTGGTAAGTGTGTTTCTCTCGCGTACATATATATCACAGGCAGTTAAACTCTTCCTGTGAAGACGGTATAAAGAGATCTCTACGTAAATGTATACTTGCAGAACATACCGATTCATACAGTGGAGGAGGAGGGGAGCGAGACCAGCGACGAGCAGATACAAAATGTATCGGATCACGTTGACGAGGACGAGGACGGTGCGAATAATACGGAGCAGCAAATAGAACCTGAGACAGTTCCGTTAATGGCGGAGAAAGAGACCGATAAAGACGAGAGCCAACGAACGGAGGAGCAGCAGCAGGATCCTCTGTCGCGTCCCATCAAAAGCGAGCCGCTGGACGATTACGATACCGACTGCACCGTAGAGTTAGAATCCGCCGAAGACAACGAGCTGCTGTTGAATCCCATGGCGCTCGGAGGCACGAAGGAAGACGTGGTGATGGAGGCCGATTCCACCCAAAAGTCCACCGGCGGTGCCGGCGGCGCGACGCACAAGAAAAAGCTAAGACGCGGCCCGCACACGCATTTCAGAGGGCCGCGCGCTTTCAAGCAGAAGTGCGTATACTGTCAGATATTTTTGCATTCCAAGTATTCGTACATGAAGCACATGAAGCGATTTCACAGTAATAAGAACAACGGCACCGAGAACTCGGAGTCCCAGAATGAGGAGGAAGAGATGGTGGAGGATCTCGAGGAGGAGCTGATCAGCATGGAGAAGGAGTCGCCGTTGACGCAAGTCCAGCAGGACATTATCAGCCAGTTGAAAACGTTCTCTTGTTACAAGTGCCAACAGAGCTTCAACGACCGGCGCAGCACGCTCTCTCACATCCGCCAGCACCTGCCGGACCTGAGACCGCACACGTGCATCGCCTGCCTGACGCAGTTCTCCGACCGGTCGATGTACCAGGCGCACTGCAGCGCGTCCTTCGAGTGCGCGATGAAGATCGCGCTGGTCGAGCCGAAGCAGGGTAACGAACGGTACTTCACGTGCAACATGTGCCTGCGCTCGTTGCAAGGTAGGAAGGAGCTGCTCAGCCACCTGACCAAGCATTCTAACAAGCAGTACGAGGAGATGATCTCACCGGCGCGGCCGCCCCCCAAGCTGAAGCCGATGGCGCCGTTGCCCTCGCCGAAGGACGAGGCCAGCAAGTCGTCGCCGAAGAGCGGCCCGTACAAGGACGGGGATCCCGCGCACAATCACAAGTGCGACCTGTGCGGCATGATATACCGTTACCGGCCGAACCTGATCAAGCACAAGGCGCTCTGCACGCGGCTGCAGCCGGAGGTACGGACGTCGTACAAGTGCGCCCACTGCTCCATGACGTTCCTCGTGTTCAAGAAGTTCCACTCGCACGTGACGGTGAACCACAAGAAGAAGGAGTTCACCTGCGCCATCTGCAACTCCCGATTCCGTTCGCCCAGCGACTTCCTGAGCCACCACGAGAGGCACCGGGTGTCGGCTATCCGGCAGACGCAGCACAACAGCGACAAGGGCCCGCAGAACGCCCTGTTGAAGGAGCGCAACGGCGGGGCGGACGCGAAGCAGAGCAAGACGAGGGCCGGCGGTCAGAAGTACACCTGCGCCCTCTGCAACAAGGCGTTCTCGACGCGGCTCGAGCTGACCGAGCACCGGAACCTGCACCTCAAGGTAAAGATCTACTCGTGCGCGATTTGCCGCAGCATGTTCAGCAGCGCCGGCGCACTGGAGATCCACATGAGGGAGCACGGCATAGACGACCCGAACGAGCGGAACGCCAACATCTCCTGCGTGGAGTACGGCAGCCTGGACGAGGACGTGAGGATCGAGAACGACTCGATGAACTCGAGCGCGGTCTCGAGCGACGCGCAGGGCGGCTACGAGTGCGAGCAGTGCAACAGGGTGCTGTCCAGCCACGCGAACCTCCGACGGCACGCGACGATCGCCCACCGGAACTCCAAGAAGTACGAGTGCACCGACTGCGCGAGGATCTTCACGCGCAAGGAGATGTACGAGCAGCACGTGCAGCACGAGCACAAGTCCTCCAAGAGCTTGTTCCACTGTCCCGAGTGCCCCAAGAGCTTTGTCTTCCAGACGAACTTCCGCTATCACTTCCGAACCGCGCACCTGGAGAAGTCGCGGGACGGCTACGGCTGCGACATCTGCGGCAAGGTCTTCGCCGAGGAGGCGTCCTTGAAGATACACAAGGGCTGGCACAATCGCGCCAACTCTCGTTTCAACACCATGCTCATCCTGGGCAAGCAGAAGAACGACTCGCAGAAGAGCGCCGCAGAGTCGAACAGCCCGGAACGCCCGGCGAGGGCGCGGAAGTCTTTCCCCAATCCTCCGTCGCAGTCGCCGACCAAGTCGCCGGGTAGCTTCCAGTGTCAAGTGTGCAACGACAAATTCAACGACGTGACCGAGTTGAGGACTCACCTGTGGGACGTGCATTGCGCACGGAACAAGCCGGAAAAGAGCATATCCAACGACGAGCTGCAGTGCGAGCTGTGCACCAACGTCTTCCCCGACAAGGACATCCTGGCCGCCCACATGAAGTGGCACAAGGCCAACCCCATTCTCAACGACGTCCACAAGACTTACACCTGCGACGTCTGCAACAAATCCTACAGCTCGAAGAAGGTCCTGTGGAAGCACAAGAGGCTGCACAAGGCCACCCTCGTCACGTCCGCCAAGTTCCAGTCGTTGGCCAAGAAGCCGGTCAACCCGTTCTTCTGCACGATCTGCCGAAAGCCCTTCTCCAGCGGTCAGTCCCTGCAGCGGCACAAGCTCAACTTCCACAGCGACCTGCAGAGCCAGCAGTCGCGGGCGCAATCCTTGCACAACAGCACCCGTAGGTTATCCCTCGAGGAGGAGCCGAAGTTCAAGCGTATGAAGGTCGAGGTGGACGACAGTCCGCCGCCGCCCAAGTTGCCGCCCTTCGCCATGGACTTCGCCGGCGAGGTGAAGAAGAAGTCGTTCATGTGCCACCTGTGCAGGAAGATCTTCCCCAACATGAGCGTGCTCTACAAGCACAAGCAGGCTGTGCACAAACCCCACGTGAGGAAGAACGGCTTGCCCGAGTGCAGACCGGTGACGACGGAGGACGGCAAGTTCTTGTGCAACGTCTGCTCCAAGGAGTTCCCAGGCCTGCCGAATCTCCGCCAGCACTTCACGATCAAGCACAAGAAGATCTACGACTCCGACAAGTACCAGTGCAACGTGTCCAGCTGCGACCAGCAGGCGCCGTCCGAACCGGCCAAGGAGCCCTACGAGCCGACGCACACCAACAACATGATGTTCAGTTGCAAACTCTGCGACCGTTACTTCTTCAACAAGGAGACCATGATCGACCACATCGTCAACGTGCACAATACCGCGTACCAGCCGGACAACAAGACCTTCCACTGGGAAATCGACCTCACCACCTACGTGGTGAAGGGCGCGACCGGGGCCACGTGTCCGCGTTGCAACGTCAAGTACCCCAACAATCGGGCCATGAAGATACACTACGTCAAGATCCACGAGAACGAGTAAGAGCGGAGGGGGTCTTCGGAAGTCTTCACGCGACCACCGCCGCTGCCGCGCGCGTCGTGCGGAATTACCGGCTCGTCAGGTAGGCAAAGAAACAATTTTCCCGAGTTTACCTGAAGAACACGGCGGATCGTTCCAATATGTTCCTGAGAGAGGGAGAGAGACGGTTCGCGCGTTTCTTTGCGACGGGGGGCCCCACACGCAGCTTCCCGATTTCCTCGCTTNTCTCGGGGTGAGAGACCCCCCCCCCCCCGTTTTCGAGGTTTCCCGGGAATGCTCGACGGCATGGAGATCGCGCCTCGTAATGATGATCATTATGATGCTGATTTTTGCGATTAACGCGCGGGACCAGCGTCGAGCGCCGCAGGTTTCGGGCGACATTGACGGGAAAAGAGAAATGGAAAATTAAATGAAAAACGATTTAAAAAAAAATGAAAGATACAGATAAGACTCACGTGGGGACGTATGTGTTTAGGTTGTAATCATAAAGAAGTTTCGTTTCGAACGCACGGGAACGTGCGACGACTTATTATTGTAGACTATTTGTTACCTGTTTGATACGGCGACTGTAATAGCGACCAATGACACACACTTGTAAATATCGAGCTGATACCCACGGTGGCCTCTCACGGCTCATGCGTGCGGTTTCTCGGTGCAGTTGTTGCGATCGCTGCGACCAGAATTTGTATCTCCGGTCGATCCCGCCGCGACGTCCGACGGTGAACAAACTCGACCTCGAACTTCGCGCATCTCTGCGCACGTCGGCTGCCACATCGTGTACGGTCTAAAAGTGTCTCGTGAAAAAAAAAAAGCTGCCAGTGGCGAATTCGTACCTTGGAATTGGACGCGTCCTTCTAATCACTCATTTAAATTCTCTACGGTGTTTTTCAGCCGGCACGTTCTCTCTCTTTCCCCCTCACGTCGTTCCATCGCGCAACCTGGTTGCAGCGATAACGCGATAATAACAAATGACCGCCTTCGAGAGAGGCACCGCAATAGCTGCTTAGAGAATTTACTTTATCTAAGGCATAGATACTCTAGGTATTATTATATCTATTATTATTATTATTATTATTATTATTATTATTATTTTATATATATATATATATA